TAGATTTATGATATTTGTTTCAACGAAAAATATGTTGTTTGATTGTTAGGTTACATATCTATTTTCTTTTTTTTTTCTTTTTTTTTTATAATTTGATTTTGACAAGTTTGATCTAAATTTGATAATTGAAGCAGGTAGGAAAGATATGTGCTAACGATTTTGAATTTGTATTGCCCTATAGAAACCAACCATAGCCTCACAAACAATTTCCTCATATCTCAGTAGGTCTTAACATTTCTCAAAATTCAGCTACAAGAAGTCATGGATGCACTCCTTGAATCAATCCTCTAAACCGAATTTCATTTGTTAGTTGGATGTAATGACCAAAATGCAAGATTTCTGAAAGTTCATTATTATTTTATTAGTGTTAACCTTTAGCAAATTATGAAACTAATATTATATTTTTGTTAATAACTTTTTTTTTGTAATAATTTATTTGATCGGAAGATATGTATATGTGATTGGGTGTAGCCTAAAAAATCATATTTTAATTTTTATAAAGAAAAAATACTTTGAAATCGACCAAGTTACAATGTCTGAATTTGATGTTTATGGTTATGACAATTCACTTTATTTGTAATGTTTATCGAATTTCTTCGCAGAATTTAATGTTCCTGGTACATATAACAACTTATTGTTGCTTTCGGTTTTACATGGCCAATATGAAAAGAGCCATATGAGCCTCCATGGGGGTTGGTACACCGAACACAGACAATTCATAAAGCTACTAAACAACATGTTTTAATCAAGAAGTCGTATTATGTTGTGATAAAACAAAGATCACATAGATCATTTATGTTAAAAATTACTGTGTTAAAAAACCAAATTGCTCTAATATAAATATTAAATATTTTTATCTAATAAGTTTGGTTCAAAAACTCTAAAAATGAATCTAACTAATATTTTTTTTATTAAAATTCAACGTAAGACAAAACCACCTATTAATATGATATGTATTTAATTATTGTCCGCGTTTAACGCGGGTCATAATCTAGTTCTTACCTAAAAAAGCATGTAAATAGTAGTCTTGTTTTTTTTTTTGGGCAACTACATTCGCGTACCAATTCACCTTTTATCCACTATCTGTTTTTGGTTTTATACGAGAGACAAATTCAACAAAAACACCAACTATTATAAAATTTTAATTTTGTTATTGTGTTTTTTTTTTGTCTCAAAAATCATTTAAAAATCAACCCTGTTACCAACTCACATGCTAACATAGCACTTTTGATAACTTAACATAATATTTTAAGTGTTAAAATTGAAGAAAAAAAAGCTAAAATGTAGTGATTTTTGTGATAGTTATCTGATATATAGTAATTTTATGAAATTTCTAAAATATAATATTTTTGTGAAAATTTTAAAATATAATGATTTTTATAAAGATTTCAAATATAGTGATTTGTTTAATAAAATTTAAGACAACAAATGTATAAGCCAATAGTGATATATAGTGACAATGAGCGTGGCCCTAGACCGGTACCGAACCGGTTGTTACCGATTTTTTTGGGCATTTTGTAGGATCGAAACCGAACCCATATGTTGTATTTCAGGAGTGGTCCTGGACCGATTCAAGTTTGGGTAAATTAATACCAGCACCACTTAAAATCGGTTATACGAACCCATGTTTTTTGACCACATATTACAAACATTTAACCCATATAGTGTTCTTGATTTGATCCGGTTTCGGTTCATGACCAATTCGAGATCAGAAAATGTTGCTACATGCTCATCCACAATATATGGTTGAAGGCAACTCTTTTTTACTCTACCAATATATAGTTAAAAAAAATCATCCTAATTTTCGCTATCCTCTTTTTTATAGTTTTTTGTATAAAAAATTGACTTCAAAATATATATTTAAAGCTCTGTATAAAAAGTAGCATGTAACAAACTATATGAACTAGGGAAGGGTATTTTTAGCATATAAGCTCATTTATGATATATTTATTATCTTAATTTTTTTTTTCTAAAACACTATATTTTGAAAAACTATCATAAGTTATTATATTTTGAAAACTTCAAAAAAAATTCATTATATTTTGAATAACTATCACAAAAGTCACTATTTTTTTACACTAAGAATATAATATCACCAAATAGTGTCACGTCATTGTGTCATATCAGCTGACAACCTGATTGATCGTTTAAGTTGTCAGAATTATAACAAACTGATAAGCAAAGTGTCCAATTTATTATTAAAAAAAACACACACACAATGCCAAAATCGAATTTCTATAAAAACTTGGTGACTTTCAATATTTCATTTTAATATAACAAACAAATACAAACATTTTTTATAAACTCTATTTGTGCACCTCATAAACTAAAAAAATACTTTACGATAAAAAAAACATAAATTGTTTTAGATAAAAAATCCTTTCCTCTTTACACAAAACACTGTCTAAAGTGAACCACATTATTGTACATTTTTTTGGTAATGCTAAAATGCTTCAAGATTTTGAACCTTCGAAAGCAAAAGGTTTTGAAAAATTAATTTTAATTTTATTATTGTAAATTCCACCTATCAGAATAGAACATCAACTAAATTAAACAAAACAACAAATGAGACATTTCTCGAGTAGTAGTATTAGTAGTGAAGGTGGCCTCCTCTCACCTTGCTTCTTTATCATCGTGACGGAAGCCTTGCATATGTGGTTATGGCAAAAGCTAGCTCTATTGGTGTTTTCCAAGACATTAGAACACCTTCCAAGGGACTTACCCTCTCGCACCTTTTCTATACCAATAATGTTATCTTCATGGGGAGTGGTCGTCATCCAACTTTCGGAATATTGCAAGAATTCTACGATGCTTCCGAGTTGTTTCAGGGCTAAAAGTTGGTTTTTGTAAAAGTAATGTATACAAAATATTTACGTTCCCTTCAATTATCTTGTGCTTCGTGTGGGAGCTAATATGTCATGTATTAAAAGTTGTAACCCGATAATCAAAAAATTCAACACAACGCTCTCTGCTTGGAAGACAAAAACCCTATTATTCGGTGGTCGTCTAATGTTGATAAATGTGGTTCTTGGAATCTTGGCAAACTATTACTTCTTTCTTTAAAGAACCATCACTTGTATTATAATCTTCGGTAAAAGTTAGAAGGAAATATCGTCAGTACTTCTATGAACACCGCTCCCACCTTGGAGGTATCTCCCAATTGTTAGATTCAACGGGTCATATAATCTCTCTCTCTCTCTCTCTCTCTCTCTCTCTCTCTCTCTCTCTCATGTTTTGGTTATTTATACACAATGTTGTAAAAATCTCGACCGGTCCCGATTAATCTCCGATTATTCCCTAGGTGTTATCCGACCAACTAGAATGCGTCGAGCGATCAATTTTTGCTTATACAATGAGCAAAGCAGTAGCAAACAATGAAATTTTAATATTTTGAAAAAGTTTTGTCTTAATAGAAACTATTTAAATAATGTTTAATGTTGTATAAATAATATTAACCTATTTTGTTATGATATTTCATAGTATTTACAAAAATTTGTTATGATATTAGTCATATTTAATTTTTTAAAATTTAATGAATTAGCTATTTTTGGTCCACGATTAATCATTTGCCGAACGTTTTTTACAACCTTGTTTATACATACGTCATGCATTAAAACCTGTACCAAATTAGTTTTGTATGTTCTAATTAGTTGTACAAGTAGCTACTTGGTATATAAGGGTAAAAATTATTTCTTTAAAATGTTAAAGAAAAAAGTTTTACATAGACATAGAGGATAGACGAGCAACAAGTTGTGTCGCAACTCTTTTTGGATGACAAAACTAATTCTTTTAAAAACAACATTTATAGATCTTAAGGTCATAACATTAATGTGCATGACCTGTTGGACTCTATTGAGTAGTTCCACAGCTTCTGACGCAAGAAACCGAAAGTATCAAATGCAAAATGTATAATTAGTTTGTATTTTTTTAATATTTTTGTTAACTAATTTTATATGATTTTAATTAATTTATATTTAATTTAAAATAAAAAAAATTAAGTGGGTGGGAGAGATGGACACCATCCCCCCTAAAGAGGCAAGTCAAACAATTCAAAGATGTCGGGTAGCTTGGTGTCGGGTACTTAAGAGCTACAACACTTGCACTACTTGCTAGGTGTGTAGGTGTGGTGGTGGAGACCTAAGAGTATCATCTTGGCTGAATAAATTTAATGTTTCCGGTTACTTCCATAAGAAAATGGAGTTTAGGGATAAGAAGTCAGTTCTGGAATGAGCTGTGGGTTTCCAACCTTGTATCACTTGTAGAGGGACAAAAAACGTAATGTCGAGCAGCAGAGGGTCTGCATTCTGCAACAGCCACAACTGGGGCTGAAAAAACAAAAAATCATGTTGGACCAGTTGCCACTTTTCCCCAATCACATGGATACCATAGACCCATGGAGTTGCTTGTCGGTCAAATCATTAAGTCAAGTAATTGAATCTAAAATATTCCCGACATGTGAACCCAAGTTTGAATACAACAACCGGGTCCCAAATAAAGTTAATTATTTTGTATGGATTGGGTGCATTATGCAAAAACTCTAATGAGGAGTCGAAACATCTATTTCTAACATGTAATTTTCACAAAAGATATTTGGAATGGCTTTGTCATATTTCAATCACCAAGTGGTAAAACACAGATTTAGCATAAGAGGCCAAAGTTGTGACTTCTGAATATTGGATACTAGCTCAAACTTTCAAGGATCTATTAGCATGGTCTCAAGCTGCAATATTTGGTGCAAATGGTTTTAAGTGAAAGGCTACTGTATTTTTATAAAAAGGAAATAGAAGGAAAAGTTTGTTGCTATTTCAGCCAAAATACTCTGGTGCTTCTAATTCCTATTGTTGTTAAATTACTTTTTCTTGTTTTAACTGCCGCTGTTTATGGTTTTTCTTTTAAATAAGATCTCAAAAGTTCCAACTTTTTTTTTTTTTTTTTTTTGAATTTAGCATATAATATGCCTTACTAGATGTATTTAAACAAGAGGGAGAAAGAGAGATCATTCCAGCAAACTACATAGGTAGTTAGTTACTCGACACCTAGCAACCACAAAAACAATTAAAACCTCTTACAAGTTGAGATAAAAAAAGAAAAGAATCAAACCTACCACATACTTGCAAATTCAAACAAACAATATATTCAATTCCACATGTTCATCCATCACTTCTATATCAAAAGCAAAAAATAACATTTTTTTTAAAAGAACAACTTCCAAAACCACAGAAACTGGCCAACCTCAAAACCAAAACTTGCTTCCAAGATCCACCCTCATTCATAAACACAAAATATCAATCACCCCCTCCCTCATGCCTGTAGCAAAATCAAGGATTTTTATTATTAATTAATTCTTAAAATGGAATTATTTATTCTAAATACTTGCCTTGTTTGCTATGTTGTTGGACAGCCAATCCAATCCCTCATAAAGTCCCTCTCCAGATGTTGCACAAGTGCTCTGGATGTACCTGATCAAGAAATAATCAATCAGAAGGTTTATTATAAAAACATGGAATTATTATTTTATTTTAATTATTTTACCAGTGGCGCTGTCGGAGGGAGTGGAGGCCAAGCTTATCAGTGATTTCAGCAGCATTCATTGCATTTGGGAGATCTTGTTTGTTAGCAAATACAAGAAGAACTGCATCTCTTAACTCATCCTGTGACATCACACAAAACAAATAAATTTCACCATACATACAATACATGATACATGATACATGATACGACTTCTTACATATAGTAAGTAATAACAAACTTATTACCTCATTCAACATCCTGTGCAATTCATCTCTTGCCTCAACAACTCTGTCCCTGTCATTGCTATCAACCACAAAGATAAGACCTTGTGTGTTCTGGAAATAATGCCTCCATAGTGGACGAATCTGTGCACATATACAAAACATAAACACATCAAAATTACAAAATTCATATAAAATATATATACATTATATACAAGTTAAACAACATTTTTACCTTGTCCTGACCCCCAACATCCCACACTGTGAAGCTAATGTTTTTGTACTCGACAGTCTCCACATTAAAACCTGCAAACAACAACAAGATCATTGCTAAAAATACAGCATAAAGATAATAAGTCAGAAAAAAAAAACCATTGCAGAAATGATTGATTACCTATGGTAGGAATTGTGGTGACAATCTCCCCGAGCTTGAGCTTGTACAAAATGGTTGTCTTACCAGCTGCATCGAGACCCACCATCAATATTCGCATCTCTTTCTTGGCAAAGAGCCGGCTAAAAAGTTTGGTGAAAGTAAGCCCCATCCTATCCTCTTGCTACTCAGGATCCCTATAAATACAAACAACAACACTTGCTCAGAAATTGTGAATTCAGCATAAATATTTCCAAAATTGCATCTCACATTCTTTATTATTAAAACTATGGTAGTATGGTTATGAAGAATTGATCTCCTAAAATCAACTCGCATATCAGCAGATAATATTGAAATAAAATAAATGAACTTTACAGTGCTTAAAAGCTATATTTTAAATATAAGCCCAGACTTAGTGGACCTACACATTCCACCAAACCATTCCTTGTTACGGACAGAAAAAATCATAATGGCTGAAAGATTTATAGCTTCAAAAACTCATTTTTCAGATAAATAAACTAAAAAAGTCAACCTCTCCAAGGTATTATAATATTCAGATCAGAAGATGCCATAACAAAATATTCAAGGTGGCAAGAAACAACATGTAAATGTGCATGATAAGATCCTAAAAATTCAAGCATCGCACTCACGAATAGTGAAATCCAAAAGAATATTTATCACAGACATACATGAACCTTCAGACAGATGGCTTTTCTTATACAATAAAATTAGAAAAAGTAAATTGACAACCAAAGATCTAGAGTAAGAAAATTGCATAAATATTTAAGAAAAATTCAAACCAAATGGATCTATCCTCATTCAGCAGTAAAACAATGTTACGATATCAACAAAACAAAGAAGGTTCGCTGTCTAAAAACCTAAATTAAAAACAAAAAAAAAAAAAAACCACCATTTCCTTCAAAGTGAAACCAAACCAGACGGATTTACAGGTTCGGCCATATAAAAAACATTACAACCAAAATAATGATCACATATTCACCTCACAAACGGAATTTACAACGAGATTCATCCTTATAACAGATCTAATCAAAGTTTATAAAAGAGTAACATTAGTAAATATTCAGATCGGCGATCAAAATCTCAACATACATCAATCAAATCAACAATTCGACCAAAAACTCCGCTAGAAACGTATAATCTTAAATCAATACAACAGTATCATCCAGAAATTTCTAGATCGCGTAAGAAACACAAAAATACAGACGATCTTCAAGCGATTAACAGATAAGGCGATGACCTGATACGTACGAGAAACAAAACTTGAATCTAACTTACAAACGTTGAGATCCGAGAAGGAAATGAAAAAACGAAGATCTGGATCTAGATTTACCTGAGAAAAGATTGTTCGAGAAGGATCAATCGGACGTTTTGAAGTGAGAGATTGAGAAGAGGAGAGAGAAAGCGAGAAAGGGAGTCTGTAAAATAAGAGGGCGAGAAAACAGATAATGAATATGAGGTTAAATAACCCCCCGGATATCGCTGATTACCATTAATCAACATTTCTAACACATATTTTAAAAAAGGATATTAAAAATGGAAAATGACTTACGATGTTAAACCAATTATCGTATTTATTTATATTTTGATCATTATTTTTATACGTTTAACCAATGAATTTATATAAAGGGTTATTGTTACTGTAGCCCAAAAAAGTTACGTATAATGGTTTAAATGGTCCCCGTGACTATTTTTTGCATTAGAAGGGCATAAACTTGTTATTTACCGATTGGGAAAGTCATCTTACCCATTTTAGCAGGTAACCTGCCTCGTCACTTGCCATGTATACATATGAGGTAACCCACTAAGTCAATACCGAGTTGACTCGATGACACAGAAGCTGACACATGCAAAGAGTAATTACCGTCTTTAATTTCCACCAACACCCCAACAACTTTACACTGTCGATTCGATTGAGTCACAGACACAAGTCTCGAATTATAAGGGGGCATACACATGTGGGGTTTGAAGTAAAACAAATCTGAAACTTGTTTACCATATTCGGGCAAACAATCATGTGGAAGAACCCTTAAAAAGCAACAATGTCGGCTCCACCACCTTCACCCGACTCTTTAAATTCTGGTGAAGACATCAACTACAATGTGCTCCACTCAATCTTTTGTGATTGTGGTCCGAAGATTACAGAAAACCAAACTGAAATGAAAAGGTTGAAGGAGCAGCTTGGACAGGAGTATATCGTTTGCAGGATCGACCACATCAGTCTCCAGCACAAGTTGGATGACCATGATCATAAGTTTAAAGTCGTTGGTGTTGCTATGGGTGGCATGATGGTGGGGATGCTCTTGTTGTTGGTGGTTGTGCTCCATTTACTTGTTAAGCTTGGGTGATGGGTTGATCTGCGGCTAAGGCGGTTCATGGTTAAGAAGGTTATTAGTATGTAGTGTTTGTGTGTGTGTTTTTTTTTTGTATTTGTGTTTTTTTTTTTTTGCCGAAATATGTAAAAGACCTCTCTAAATGACAGACATTTTGTAAGTGAAATCCAATGATTAATGGAAGACCTATCTAAATGATAGGCATTTTGTAAAGTTGGGTGATGTTCTTTGTTGATTGTTTTTTATCTTAATTAGTTGTTAATTTTCATTGAATAATCCGTTGAAAGTGTAATAGAATTAGGAAGAAGGAAAAAGTGGGGATGTTAGGGACCCCACTTGCCTTTCACAGTGGGGGTAATATAGTCTTTTACACGTACTACCCTTTCATATATACCAAGTAGTTTCATTCTAGCACATTGTTTTCTTCTTCAAATACTCTCCACTTTGAAGGTACATAATGAAGAACATGGAATGTGGATGTGGATCCGAGGCTATAATAAGAACATTTCGTACTACCAATAACCCAGGAAGGCCCTTTTATGCATGCCCGAAAAAGGTAATTTACCATTTATTCAAATTCTGATGTTAACCCTACTTTTTTAAGATGTATTAATTCAAGCAAATAGTTGGAATCAGGATGCTCGTTCAGGTTTTATAGCTTGGGTTGATGAAATGCAGTGCAACAATGAAGGTGTGATCATAAATGGGTTGTTTAAGTCGAACAAAAAACTTCAAGCTAAGGTCTTTAAGTTGAAGGTTTACCTAATATGTAGTTGGGTTTTTTTTCTGTTTAATCATGTACAAGTTGTAATGAAGGTCAATTGGACCACTTGTTATGTAACTTGTAATGCACTTTGATGTGTTTTGAATCTTGTAATGTACTTTATTTCGTTTAAGTTGTTATATAACTTGTAATGTACTTTATTTCGTTTAAGTTGTTATCTAACTTGTAATGTACTTTATTTTGTTTAAGTTGTTATCTTTTAGCTTTGATGTGTTTTCTATGCACGGAATATGAACAAGCAGATTAAACAAAGACAGTTACAACACAACCAAGTTAAAACATAACAACTTGTCCAATTCCAAACTTAATAACCTACTACAATCCAATTCCAAACTTAACACTTAAATCCAACCAAACACAACCAAGTAAAAAGATAACAACTTAAACGAAATAACATCCTAATCATTAAGCTCCAATGGGTTTGCACTGGTATCTCCTTTCCCATCTTTGCCCTTCACCCTCTTAGCAAGTTTCATCTTTATGATTCTCTCTGATTTCTTTCTTTTACATCTCCTTCCAGCAGCAACACCTTCTGCTCCTTCACCTTTTTTCCCTTCATGCACTGATTTTGCTCCTTGACCCTTTTGCCCTTCATTGACACCTCCTGCTTCTTCACCTTTTTCATTGACACCTCCTACTCCTTCACCTTGTTCATTGACACCTCCTACTCCTTCACCTTTTTCATTGACACCTGTTTTCCTTTTTTTAACATTTAGTTTGGGCCTCCTACCAACTTCAGGTTTTTGCACTTGAGGTCTTTCAGCTTGAGGAAATGTGACCTTGTTATGCCCCACATTTTTACACGCTGCATGATATTTTTTTCCCTGCCTTAGACACTGTAAAGGCCGCAGATTCGGGCTAGTCAATTTAGAGACAATAAGCATCAAAAATGAGTTTTTGATGGAAGATTATTTATAAGGATTAATCTTTTCCAAGTAGTAGTATATGTTACAAGGGTTCCGTACATATAAAGAACGCCGAAATCCGAGTTATAACGAAGAAGTTATGACACGTCGAAGTTTTTCGGCAAAACCGGCATGACACCGGGAGACGTAAATAGTGAATTTACGATGGAGGACTTTTTAGCCTTAGAAATCTAAGCAAAAGTTTTAGTATACGTTAAACCGAGAACATACAAAAAAAGAACGCCCAAATCTGACTTCGTATGAAGAAGTTATGAATTTTCTAAGATTTGGCATAACAGTGCACGACCCGAAACTCGAATTTTAGATCGAGCGGTTTTTGGCCTACGCGACCTAAATGAGAATTGAATATCTCATTAATAGGAACTCAACAGTAAAAATACATACGAAAACGGATTCCGTATGTAGAAGTTATGAATTTTACGCGGATATTTAACAGTATAATCTCCTCGTACTGTTAAATTTAAGATCGGTCGAGAACTAGCCGACGGAGTCAAAGTGAAAGTTGTAGATGTTATTTTTACCTACGCGTGGATATAAAGAACGTCGAAAATGGAGCTCGTATGCGAAAGTTACGGGGTTTAGAAGTCGGCAGGGTGCTGCTGCAAAAGGGGTGACGTGACACAATCTTGGCTATTGTTTTCTCCCCAAGGCTTGCCACTAGATGGTGACATGTGGCACTAATTTCTGCCATATTTCACCCTATAAATACAACCCCTTCCACCCTCATTTCTTCACACCTCCACCATTCTCTCTCTACTCTCTCTGTAAACCTCCCAAAACTCCCCTAGCGCTAGAAGAAAGCCCCGGAGCGCTCGACGGCTCCGAGACGAAGAGCTTTCGGCTCGGAAGTTGTGCCCCTGCAGAGCCCGACTTCTAGCCAAACCTCCTCGTAGGTAAGATACGCCTACCCTATTTTAAATATAGCTTTTATTTAAATACAGTATTGTTATTAGGAACTTATAATAAATATTTAGGCTATTATTATGAGTTATATAAGTGTCGTTATAATATCCTTTTAACCACTCGCGGTACGGGGAATCTGGTTTAAAGGGCCGCATAGGGTTGTTGGATTTCAGAAGTGCTATATGTCAAAATGGTCCTGCCCTCCGGTGTTTTATGTCTGGCCCCTGTCTGTACATAGTGGGTGAAGAGTATTGTTTAACGCTTATATAATAGTAATAATAGCTAGACTATTAATTAGTCTCGGTGAATATTAGACTAAACTCTAGTGGTAATGATACTAGGTTTCGTCGAAAGAAAATAAATTAATAGAAGCGAAGCGCTGTCTGAGTTCGGAATCACCACCTTAACAAGTGAGTGCATAGTTACTTTCATCCTACACATAGATATGAAGTATTTTATATAAATTACGTGCTATGTGTGCATATAACCTGTATACTTGCTATCTATGCTGGATGAACGATTTTATACATGTTTTAAATAATTTAAACTGTATATGTATTTTATATCTACGAATATGTTGGGTAAAACATGGGTAGATGAATGATGAGAGATGAATGATAATATGAGTGAACATTGACAGCTATAGACTTAGTGCCTAACAAATAACATCGGCAACTATGAAAAAGTGCCTATCGAATAAACATTGGTAGCTATGGACTTAGTACCTGTTAGATAAACGTTGGTAGCTATGGACTTAGTACCTGTTAAATAAACGTTGGTAGCTATGGATTTAGTACCTATTAGCTTAACACTGGTAGTTATGGATTTAGTACCCGATGAATGAACTTTAGCAGCTATGGAATTAGTGCTTTACGAACAAGCATTAGCAGCTATGGACTTAGTGTCTGTCATATAAACCCTGAAAGCAATGGACTTCGGAATGAACGAATGCAGGATTGATGACTCTTAGGGTAGACCTTAAGAGTAAGGAAGATAATGGGGATGGGTAATTGGGTTGATTGTTTGATGTTTAAACATAATAATTAAATTATTGTGGGTTGAAAACCCTATGTACTCACCAGGTTTCCCAACCTGACCTACTCAAGCTTATTTGTATCACAGACGTCGATATGAAGTTAGATTACACTGAGAGATTAAAGAGATGTAGATCACTAGTGTATATGAATGTAAGTTCTGTTTATGCTTATGTTTCTGTATTGACAATGACATCCCAAATGTTTTAAAATGAATAAAAATACATTTCTTCAGAAATGCTTTAATAACGTATTTATCATGGTTTACTAGGAACAAATTCTGCAACATTTTTATCAAAAGAAGTACTATGATTTTTATAAAGCATAAACAAAATCGGTCTTTTCTGGGCGTGAAAAATGGGGATGTCACAGACACAGTGTGCCTTGGTAGTTTCTCTGATGCATCTCTTCTTCTGTTAACCTTTGGTCTACCTGGCATTCTTCTCTTCATTGGTGGAAGAGGTGGTATGAAGTCAGTAGGTGGCCACATATTGCTACCATTCATCCCCTGAATTAGATACTTATAGGTGTTCGTGTAGACTGCTCCATAGAACATTGTATCAACATAACCGCCAACATCTCTATTGAGAAATGATATAGTTGCAACTGAATGCACACATCCATACCCATTAAGTTTCCACACTCTACAAGTGCAAGTCTTCTTGTCCAGGTCAACAGCATAGGACTCAGCCATGTTTCTTGTTTCAAATTGGTTTAGACCACTTGTTAAAACCTGCCAATACATAATGTAGACATAACATAAGTAATTACATACAATTATGAGTTTAAAGATTAGAAAGTACCTTTGAGCTTTTTTTAATTGATTCAGTAGGAGTGTAATTGCTGGGCAAGGCTTGTAATCAGGCCATGAACTACCTTTAATCTTTAAATTGTATATTCTCTCCATAACATACAATCTAATCTCCTCTAACATGGTGATGATTGGCTTTTTCCTAGCATCCCTTATCACACTGTTGAAGCTCTCAGATAAGCCATTCTCCACTGCATCACACATCTTTCCCTCTTGAAAAAAATGCTCTACTCCAAGATTTGGGGTTTGTTTCCATAAGATAAACAAAGGCTGCAGGGTTAAGCACTTCAATCTCCTTCATGACAGCATTGAATAAAGGCTCAGTGGATGCCTTGATTGCCTTCCAAAACATGGTTTCATAATGCACACCACTGAATCTTTTCCTTAAGTTGGCAACAATATGCCTTGCACACTGCCTATGTTCAGCAGTAGGCAGTATTTCCTTCACAGCCTCTAACAGCCTATGTGCAACAATGATAACATGTTATATAAAATGAGACTAGAATTTATTAAATTAGGAAGTAAAACAACTTACCTTATGCTGATCTGACATTAATGTTATACCAAAACCATTATCCAGTTGAAGGTCATCTCTAAGGTTTTCCAAAAACCATTTCCAATTTTCTTTGTTCTCTACACAGACAACTGCCCATGCAATTGGAAATATGTGATTATTGGCATCTCTTCCTACAGCACATATTAGCTCTCCACTACATAAGCCTTTTAAGAAACATCCATCTAAATTTATAACCCTTCTGCAACTCCCTCTCCACCCTTGCTTAAGCCCATCAAAACACAAGTACATTTTGCTAAAATAATTCTTACCATCTGGCATAGAATTTTCATCAATTTTGACTGTTGATCCTGGATTTGATCATCTCCTCACCATATGACCATAACTTTGCATAGTGCTCCACTAGTGTTCCTTCAATCAGTTCAATTGCATACTTCTTTGCTCTTCTACACTGTCCCATACTCACATCTATACCAAATTTCTCTTTAACCTCATCCCTAAGTAGCCTCACACTAACCTTTTGTTTCTGTAAGAATTATGTTGTGTAATGGGTACCTATCCATGAATAATTCACAATTGAACCTAACTTGAAGTTTCTTGCACAATTATGCTCATTTATGAGACACTTTATCTGGAAAGACTTTTCCTCACTCATCCAAGAAGCCCACATCCTAAACTTGCACTGCCCAGAACAACGTTTCACTAATAGTCTCCTACTATTATTTTTTTTGTAACATAACTGATAACCATTTGCTACAGCATAGTTACACATCATATGTTTCAGTTGTTTAGGACTCACAAATCTCATACCTAATACAGGTTTTTGCTTTTTCCAAGGAACATTCTCATTGTAAATAGCATGGTCAGTAGAAATTACCTCATCTTCTTGTGGTGGATCATATGTATCTTCACGAGGTGGACTGTGGGGAGTGACTTGCTCATTTGGGCACAACTTACTCAGAAACTGATCATCCTTTGTCTTGTTCATAGGAATGCACTCATCAGGTTCACTGTCCACTTCCATGTGAATGCTATCATCTTTCTCACCTTGCAAATCCTCGTTTGGACCTAGGATATCATCCATACCACCATGTAAATCTTGCATGTCAATTCCATCATCCATATCCATACGACTGTGAACTTCTTCATGATCTTCATTTGCACCAGATAATTGGTCTAAAGAACTGCCAACTTCTGCTTGCTCTTCAGGAATCCATTGATGTACATTACCACCAAGATGGTCCATATATACATCGATTACACAATCAGAAGCATACCCTACTTTGATTAGTTCCATGTAATCCATGTCATTCGTGATTAACCTTAATCCATCAGTAAAACCAATATCGGGCATGCAAAAGTACACTTTCACACATATCTCACATGCGAATCTTTCAAGGAACTCGACAAATTCCTTCTTGTCCATTCCAGCAAAATCAACATCATCAAACCTTTGCTCTGCTCCATCTGCGTAAGTAATAGAGGGGTACCTGGTAAATATTCCAGCAAAATGTAGATCAATCTTCATGAAAACGGCCATAGCAACAACAAAGTTCCCCGATTTGAGTGACTAACACTTGAAGAAAAGGATAGGACCGAAGAACAGATCAACAACAAATTTCGATGCGGGGAAGTTAAAGAAAAAAGATTTAAAAAGGGACAGTTGAGGGGTTTAAACGTACAGTATCTCTCATTAACTCCTATGCACACATGGCAATGACATGGACTAAATTAATCTATTTGGATATGAGGTGGAAATAAAAAATTGCTAGGTAGGATGGGGTCACCGGGTGACCCCTTCATTTTTCCAAGAGTGCCCTTTTAAAACAAGAAATAACAAGTTTATGCCCTTAAAATGCAAAAAATATTCACGAGGGACCATTTAAAACCATTATACGTAACTTTGTTGAGCTACAGTGACAATAACCCTTTATACAAATTCAGAAAAAGATCTCGGGCTTTGTCCGGGTTAAATAATTTTGTTTTGTTTTGTTTTGTGTAATGGCTAAGATTGTACTTTTAATTTTTTTTACGGTTGAGGCAATATATTCTAAAAACGTTAAACATTGATATTTTTTTAATTATCATAAGCAATGTTTCTACTTGTAAGTGTGCATTTGTATGTATCTTTTTTCATTTGTTTTTTCTTTTGTAAGTATTGGCATGTGATGATAAGTTCAAACGACAAAGTAGAAGTTAAAAGGTGTCAACGTCTTATTTTAGAACATGGAGTTCATACAAAAGATGAGAAAACTATTACATAGACGATAGCAAAAGAGGATATTGGTTGGATGTTGACTAATCGAACATAACTAACATAAAAGAGGGAACAGTTGGTAGCTCATCATCAGTGAGTTCCTTCATGAGTTTCATGTGGTCGGCAATTGCTTCTTTGATTTCTTCATGAAGGGATGCATCTTGTTGCCACGTGTCTTTACTTTGTCGAGAACGTTGCCGGATATTGCTAAGTTTAGGAAGCATGGGTGAGTTTCTATAGTGTTGCAATACTCCTAATGAATTGAATATGTATGAATTTTATTTTTCTTTTGGTAAAATATAATTTTTATTGTTTATTTTTATGTGTAGTCATGTGATCAACAGTTTAGTGAAAGCCGGGGAGTAGAAAAGACAACTCAACAAAATATGGTGGCAGAATTGTGAAGCACGTAGACATTTTCTATGAATTATGAGGACAATTTTTTTTAATTATTTTTATACACAGGGGTCAAACCTGTCAAAATACAAAAATGTTATCTATATGGATTGTTAAAAAAAAAAAAACTTTATAGGGACCTTTTCTATAAATTAAAAAGTTACAGGCAGTAAATCTGCCAAATTTCATGTAACATCCATAAAATTCAAGCCAATTTAAAACTTTTTCAACCATTCAAAAACCATTAATTATTACAAAGTGTTTTCAAAATAGTTTCATGTCGGAGTATCCCAACAATAAAAATCATAAAATATAAGGAGGTGCACGATCACGCCTTCGCCTTCCCGCGATCATCTGAAGTACCTGAAACAAAATCAACACCTGTAAGCCCGAAGCTTAGTGAGTTCCCCCAAAATACCAACACCATAAAAACCAGAACAATATCATAACAAACAACATGCATGTAGAGTCTACAGTATGACTGGACCGCCCGTACCGGGCCTTCAGTCTATGTGGTCAACTCTCAGAGTCTTCAGTATCACTGGACCGCCCGTACCAGGCCTTCAGTCTATCTGGTCCACTCTTAGAACCTTCAGCATGTCTGGTCCGCCCTTCCGAGGCCTTCAGCCTGTCTGGACCGTTCTCCGGGCCTTCGGCCTGACCAGTACGCCCTACAGGGTCTACAATCTATCCGGGCCGCCCTGGGTATGTTGGCCTAGAGCACAAACCAGGACCGCCTCAACCCACCCCCAATCACACAACCAACACATAAATATCATACGCTAGCTAGCATGTACAGGTAATCATACAGATCTAACAGATCACTAATCATAGCACCATCCTATATACCAGGATACCGATCTAACAGATCACTAAACATAGCATCATCCTATACCCAGGATACAGATCTAACAGATCACTAACATAGCATCATCCTATAACCAGGATACAATCATAAAGGGCCGTCCTTGGTGCCTTAGACCCTGTTGATATAGTGAGAATAACTCACCTCACAAGTAGTGCTGAACTGGACTGAAAATCTCTGACCGTTGTCTCATCGAAAATCCCGAAGTATCCAAAATAACGAATACTAAGTCAACAATTGTGATATCAATCTTGACCAAGGGTCCCACATAGGGTAATAGTCCATTTTGCCTTTTCTCTAATTTGGGCCCAGGACCAATACCAAATCCATAATCCAAAAGTCCAAATATACAATGCCCATAATTAGCCCAATTTTCCCAATTGGGCCTCACTCTAAGGTCCATTTCCATATTAGGCCCAAAATACATTTATTCAGAAAGTCCAGTAAAAGCCCAACAGAGGGCGTACGTTGGGCGTACTCCTCTGGTATGCTGGGCGTACTCCGCCTTGCGTTGACCACCATCGGGGTGGTTGACTCGGTACACTGGGCGTACAAAACTTACGTGGGGCGTATGCGACTTTTACCAAAAACTCTAATAAGTGCTTAATGGCTTAATCACTTGAGCCTAAACTCCAGATCCATTGACTAAATGAACCCTAGAACCATAAAGTCTCGAACTTTAAGACTTTGGACATCCAAAAAGCCCTTAATACATGGTCTTAATCCATTAAGACCTTCCTATTACTTGCATGGGACACTTTTAGCTATTGGGACTTCATTTTTATCATTTAGAACCCTTCCTAGGGTCTGAAAGGACAACTTATTACGTCCAAAACGCATTATGCACAAAC